TTTATTGTAACTTCTTACTCTAGGTCTACTCTTTACTTGGGGTGGAACCTATTTAATCATTTTTACTCATCCACCTGGCTAGCTAAGTAGCGCATTTTACTAACCTGCAGCTGGTTCTGCTAGACAATGACCATCAGGCTAGTGCTAAGGTCGAATCCTGGATAAAGTAAGATAATGTTTGAAGATCTCTTTCCCTGTTTATTGTAAAAGCTCAGTCTTGTCCAGCATATATGGAGGAAGGTATATTTCCCATAGCATGAAGCAAAGAGGCCTTGACATCATTTCATTAGGTTTTGTTGTAAACAGTAACATTTTCATTATAAGAAATCCTATTCTTTCATTTTTCAGTAAAAATTTAAGTGCCAAGATGTCAGCCGAAGTAAGCAGCGTCCGTCCCAACCCCTACATCTTCGACATAGAAAATAGAAGAAAACGTCGACCAAGGCTTGCTCATGAGATAGGGGCTGGAGCCAAGTGCAAGAAATGTGGTGACAAATGTCCTGGTTTTGAATTACATTTTTGGAGGTAAGTTTATGGATCAACTTTTACAGATTCAAGTATTTTTATTCTTACGGTTATTATTTGTTACTTCTTTTATGATATTAGGTATTAGTACTAGTATACCAATTCTGATGCAGAAAAAAATTTTAATATATAGATTTCTTGAAAATACCTTTAAGATGATAATGATATTCGTATAGACAAAAAAAAAGAAACTGCAAATTTATATAGAACAAAGCCTGTGGATTTTAGTTAACCCCTAAGCACCAGAAATTCTCAATTTTGCCTGTACCCCCAGCCACTAAACATGATTTATCAAGTCTCCTGAAAGCATTTGTAGAGCTCTGTTTTATGTAACAGAAAGTGCAGATTTCATTGCTATAGGGACCTATTTGAAGTAAAACAGGGCTGCAGAATGCAAATTTGAAGAAGTTATCACAGTCTCCCTATGTGTATGAATGAAGATGAGGAGAGATTACTACAAATATGTTGGTAAAACACATAGGAACCTATTTTTTGAAAATTATGTAAATCAGTAATATGTATTGCTATTTAGATCTGGATGCATAGATAGTAATAAGACAATGATATACTAGGAGGTAGCTGTGTGATACATAATAGTGTGGTGAGTGGAGGGGGAATGTGGGAGGAGAAAAAGTCTTTGGATTTGCTTGAATGAAATACACCACCAGAATTATTAGTTTACATTCATGACTTTCCTTCACTAGAAGATAGAAGTAAGAGAACATGTCTGTGTAATTGGCTTTTCATTCACAAGAAGATAGAAGCAGGAGAAACTATCTATGTGCGTGGCTTTCCATTCACAAGAAGAACAGAGGCAAAAGAACATGTCTATATGATTGGCTTTTCATTCACAAGAATTCAGAGGCAGGGGGGACATAACTGTGCATTTGGGTCAAGCAGAAGAGAGCCTGTAAGGGGAGTCAGGGTATAGGGGAAGTGGTGATGTATTAGATGACATTATGTATGCCTTTTTCATAATAAATAATTACTCAAATTTGTGACAGGCCTTGCACAGTTGTGACAGGGAATGTGGGTCACTCAGCAAATAGTCACAACCATTATGAATAGGGGTTAAGAACAAATTGAGAGCACATTTTTATTAAGAAGAGTTTTGAGATTCATGAATGAAAGTGAAATACTGAAAGGTTATATATATTTTTTAATTCAAATGATCTAGTGCTTTTATAAGAAAAATTAAGATTAATTATTTACAGCACAATTTATTTCAAAAGCACATTGTAGGTATTTTAAACTTTATTATTTAAAAGTTATGTATTGTATGAGGATTAAAAGAAACAGCTTAAAAGGTCAGCAAGATTAAGAATTTAAGATTTTTTTATGTAAGATATTTTATTATCCTACTTACAGAGTGTCATCTTTATCAGATGTGTAAAAAAAAAAAAAAATAATGTTATGTAATTGGGTGATTATGGGAATGCATTGTTTAAAGGTGGTAAGAAATGAAAAATATAAATGTATTAAAAAATCTGAAAATACTCTGTTCTGTAACCAATTATCAATCTGTAGATCTCAAGAAACTTTACCAGTACCATATATTTGGTCTTTCGATTTGGAAGTAATAAAAGTGTCTCTTATAGGAGCTTGAAATGATTTTCGAAGTGAAGTTCCACAGACTTATTGATACATCCTATAGTTGGGGAACCTTCAGGGATGGCAAGTCTATTCATGGCATGTCTACAGTAATCTTAATTGCAGTTTCATCGGTTTGCAAACACAATACACAAAGTAAAACCTGAGCAGACATTGCAAGTTTAGGCAGCAATGAGTTAAAGTCACAATAGCATCATTAATGTCACTTGAGGCTGGATTTTATATGAGATGTTGTTAGCATAACAAAATAATATGCATCACAATATATTGCCTTTTCTTTGGGTAGGTGGTGGTAGGGGAGGATGGATGGTAAGTAGGGAAGCATGGAGAAAGGGAGGTTTGCCTTACATTTATAACAGTGTGT